AGATGTAAATCACTAGTGTAAATGAATGTAAGGTCTGTTTATGCTTATGTTTCTGTATTGATGATGTCATCCTAAAATTTTTAATATAAACATGTAACACCGTAAATTTTCAAACAAAAATTTCATTTTAAAATCACATGAGTCTCATTAGCACAATAAAAAGAATCCCATTTATTGTTTTTAATTTAATTATATTCTTGGTTCTTCATTTATGACTTGAGTACTTTGTTAAATTCTCACTTCAAGTCTCAACTGATATTACCAAACTTGACTGAATCATATAACTACAAGCAGATATTGATCTTAAGCATTAACTCAAGGTTTGAGTTTTCAAACCTTATCCCTACGCATCATATTCTTGTTCTCACACATAGAAATAAAGAAAAGGAAGGGGGTAAAAAATCACATTGCCTAACATCTCTTTTGATATCAAACTCCTTCGTAAGAGAACCATTAACCAAACTGAAAGCTCTACCAGAAGAAAGACACCCTTTTATCTAATTTCATCATTTATGACGAAATCCCATTTTCTCCAATATAGAGTCTAGAAAACTCCAATTAAGAGAATCAAAAACCTTTTCAAAATTGGATTTGAAAATAAGAATTTAATTCTTTTTTTTCTTAGCCGAAGCATAAATTTCATTAATAACAAAAGGAACATCTAAAGTAAAATTACCTTAAACATAAGTCAATTGCTTTTGACTAATAACTTTCCCCAAACAATTTTGAAAGCATCTTGTACATACACCTAATAAGGTATATGTGAACTAGCAAACTTTTTAAGCTTCTTCTTTTAAGCTTAGGCCTGACCATCTTAGATTCATAAAATTTTGAAGACATGAACTTTCAAACTTCATCCATAATGTGAACCAAATCGGTCACCCAATCACCTTTGATATTAAGACCATTGATCCTACTTCTTTTTTATGACAATTAATAATACCACGAAAGAACTTACTATTTTCATTCCTTCCACCTCCCACTTGATTCTCACTTTTTGTTTAAGAATTAAGATTTGGTCTTCCAATTGATTTAAAATCAGTGATTCTTCTCTTGTTGTTCATTCTTTCAGTGATAGAAGAGGTTGATCTTTAGCTAATAATTCCAATTCATTAATTTTATCAGCGAATTTAGATAACCCTTTTCTTATTTTTTATTAACTCCAATCTCCAAAGCTTGATGCTGATTTTAAGCTCTTGAAGTTTTTTAGGTGGCCTTAGGTCAAACTTCATGTAGTCGATATTTTAGCCCAAGAATCAATCACAATTGCCTCAAGCCCGTCTACGAGAAACTAATAGTTAAAACTTAAAACTTAAAAACTTTAAATGGAATAGGCCCAAAATCAATACTCTCACTGATCAAAACAATTCGGTTGAGGTCCAAGTAGGTGTGATAAAAAAAAACCGGTTCGTGAACCGAACTGACCTCCGATCCGAAAAGCTATTTAGCCCTGAACCGGTTCAGCCATAAACCGAACAGCCAGTTTGAGCCGGATCTCCATTCCAACCATTGGGATCGATTTTGAACCGGTTTACGTCGAACCAGTTTACCGAACCGATTATGGACCAGTTTTGAACTGGTTTTTCGAGAAGGGGTAATCTGCCCATTTTTTAATCCTATTGTACCGGCTATAAAGTTGTTTATGGCTGTTGTAATCTCATTTTGGGGTCCCTTTTGGCTATATTCACCAATATTTGATAATATAAATATCAAGTAGATATATTAGGTTAACGAAACCTCAAAAAAACCTCTCTTAGATAATAAAAAACAAAAAATAAAAAAAAAACACTATTAATTCAAGCAATGGATTCGACTTCCGTTGGTGTTGGAGATTCATCAAATAATCTTAGCATTGTTAGCATCAAAGAAACAACTAGAAATCCGGCTATTTGGGGCAACTTTGATTTGTGTGTAATGTCGAGCAGTCCGAGAAAAGTGCGATGCAAGAAATATGGTGCTTTTTTCAATGAAGATGGGAATTCGACATTGAAAACTCATATGACCAAGAGATGCCCTGCGATGAAATTTAGGTCGGGACATAATCAAACAACAATGACGAATGATACCACATTGTGGAGTTACGATTTGGCTAAAGTTCGGGATATGATGACGAAGTTTGTGATTCAAGAATGCTTGCCTTTTGACCACTTTGACAACAAACGATTGACTTCACTCATCCAAGATACTCTCCAACCATGATATTGTTGTGTGAGTTGTACTTCTATTAGACATGATTGTATTGAAATGTGGAAACTTGCAAAAAAATGAAATGATTTTAGGTATTCAATCTTTAAAAGCCGGTGTGAATTTAACTTGTGATGTTTGGATGGCTCATCACGGTTCACCAGATGCATACCTTTGTGTTACCACTCATTGGAATAATCCAAATAATTGGGTAATGATGAAGTGTATGATTACGTCTGAATTGTTTGAGTATCCGCACACCTGTAGAAAGCAAAGTTTGTAATGAGAAGCACAATGTCTGCTAATATGATGAAATCAATGATAGAAAAATTTTAAAAAAAATATTTTGAAGAAATGTCTCCCATTATTACATTTTTCGCCATTTGAATCCGACTCTAAATGTTGGGGGAGGGGGTGAGACTTTAATTGAATATATTTGTTACGATTTAGGTTTATTGAATAATGACATGGATTATACATCAAATGAAGTTTCAAAATTTAACAATGTTTTTCAAAATCTATTTGAAGTTTATTTAACAAAATATGGTTCAACAAACATTCATGATATGATGCAAAATACGGGGGCTTCGAGATCCACTTCTCACCAAAATAACGAAACAATTCGTCTCAATAATACTTTGAGGAATGAAAATTCCAAATGAGCTCGGTCTAACACCCCTAGTAGCGAGCTCGAAAGGTATATTGGTTCCTATTTCTTGTCACAAATGAGTGTTCAAGAGTTTTAAATTTTTTATATTTTGGCTTGGTGGAAAGGAAAGGAAACACAATTTCTGATTCTAGCCGTTATGATCCGTGATCTACTAAGCTCCTAAGCTTCTACGGTAGCTTCAGAATCGGCTTTTTCCTGTTAAAGGCAGGGTTATATCACCAAGAAGAAAAAAAACTCACCCCTTTGTCAGTGGAAGTGTGCATTTTCTTGAAATGTTACCTTGATGGCATGGAACGGATACAAGACATTGAAGTATTAGAAGGCACATCGTTGCGTGCCGAACCACAAGTACATGAGGAAGTAGTGATGGGAATGTCAGTGCTACTCACCCTAGAAGAGCTCGAGTATGAGAGAAGATTGTGTAACGACATAGCGGATGATGAATATATACCAAGGTTTCAGAAATCACTCGACGGTGGACCAGGGTCAAGGGATTAATCAGTCAGACGGGGATTAATCGGGTACCATTAATTATTAAAAAATTAATAAATATAACATTAATGCTAAGAATATAAGGATAGATTTATAATAAAAAAAAATATTAAAAAATATATAAGGAAAACTTTACATAGATCTATCTCATATTACAAGCCTAAACTCCAACATTCAAAATTTAGGATTAAAACATTCAAAAAAGAACCATTTGATCTATTATACGGAACAACAAAAGTGGACCATTATACCATCCAAATTTGACGAGCATCCAAATGGTACATCACTACAGCCAATAAGTTTTGAACATGAATCATTTTACTCAATTAAAGAAATCACTGTGTAGAACATGAAGCAAGAACAACCCCTGAAGCAAGAACACCCCTTGGAACATGATAATTGAATAAATTCGGATAATGCTGTTTTGCTACTGTTCACTCCTTCCCCTTTCATGTTATGCTGATCAGAAAAGAAGAGATGATTGACCCATGAATACTAACTCCTTGAATTGATAATCAATACTACAAGATTCACTTAGGCAATTGATCGAACACTTGGTGGGCAGATGGTTTCATACACAAACCAGCATCGCCACCACTTCTACCCTACCTGTGACAACCTACACAAGGATCTTGGAATTAACATACATACATACATACATACATAATCACGAGTTATTGCAACAACAAGATTCTAACATTGTTTCAATTCAACAAGTTTTAAACCGGTTTCTTTTGAACTGGTTTCAGTAAAACCGAATCAGTTTATATAAGTTCGGATTTTTTTGGGGGTGACCGGATTGGAACCGAACCGGTTTCCAGGTAAACCGGTTTTAACTTGGTTGACTAGAACCGAACCGGTTTTCTGAACCGGTCCGGTTAAAAAAAACCGGTCTGTGCAACACTAGGTCCAAGTATAGCCACAGAAGAACCGTAATAGAAGCATAAGCCCAATTATCAAGAAACAAATCATATGCAAAAAACCTGTCGGTTTTTCTGAAACTTCTACCATATGGACTCATCCAAGTTAAACTCAAATTAAAATCTTAGCATCACGTATGAAAGCTAAACAAACGAGAAGCCATTCCTGCAATTTCTAGGGCGGATGGAAAGCTAAATGTTTAAAAGTTGACTTTGTAGAGGTCAGGTGGTTCCCATCACTCCTTTCAAATAATTGAATTTGTATGGTTATGTTAAAGTACACGACGTGCCAAGTTATTTTTAAAAAATAAAGTTCATAAAACATGGAGTTTTTGCTTGAAATGTCTACTATCTGATTAGCTTGAAAAAACACATGCATACACTCAGAATGTGTATTTCATTCATTAATGTTTTATATTATTCAAAGATATTCATGATTGGAAAACATATTCAAGTGATATATATATATATATATATATATATATATATATATATATATATATATTTACTATATTATTAAACATATTGCCTCTTTCTTGAAAATTAAGAGGTACAATATATATTACCTCATGTACAATAATATTAAGCATATAACCACATCCGTATTACACTATACGTTATTGGTTTACCCTAATCTCCTACATCCGTATTACACTATACCTTATTGCTTTACCCTAATATCCTAAATACACAACAGTCGCCTTCAAACCAATTCTCATCGGTCTCCACCAAAGATGCAGTCCACCTTTTCCAGTAATACACAAGTATCCATAACCTTATCTCACCGCTACGATCAACCAAGATTCTCGGGGAAGTTAAGGAAGATCATCAAGAAAGAAAAAATAAAATCCCAGATCAGAAAAACTGGAATCGAGATCAATGATTTCCTTGTTGGGTCAGATGGGTTTGAACTGTTTTCAAGATTCTGCTACAGCAATGGCGAAATCAATATCTTCGTATCCAACGTCTCCCACCAAAGGTCCACGGCTACCGTCACCACTTGCACAGAACCGCACATGCATTTTATAGTCACCAATGGTCTACCACTATTTTCATCAGCGACCTATTCTTACAATCAGATCTATTTTTATATGCTTATTGTCTTTCCTATTCTCGGTTCCTTTGTTCAGTGGTCATGTAGGATTCTTGGAATATATGATGCTGGTAAGAATCATCTTCTCTCTCTCTCTCTCTCTCTCTCTCTCTCTCTCTCTCTCTCTCTCTTTTTCTACAAACATATCCGATGATGTCGAATGTCAAATTGTTAAGCTAAATAGTTTTTCCTCTTCCTTGCATCCAAAAGGCATATCTTTGCCTCTCTCCATTCAATACTAAGAGAAACCCTAAATTCTCCCCGAAAAACTGATGCCACACTTTCATCATCCTCGATTAACCCATCTCGAGATGGATGCTAAAGACATCCCAACAACGCCATCCTCCGAATCTTTCACCCCCAGGTGCGCTCTAGGTCGATTTATGTTATTTTTTGTTGTTACTTTTTAGATCTTTTATCTTTAGTTAATTATTCGATGTTGAGATTTTGTTGCAGCAACAGATGATGAACATAAATAAAGGTTTTTGAGTTTTGATTCTTAGTCTCTGGTTCGATCTATTCGTTTTTTTTTTTTTTTGTAACTTGTTCCACCATCGTCGTTTGTCTTCCCATAAAGGGCTTTGTCTTCTACAGGATGAACTATGAAGTCCCTTATGGCTGAATCTTCTTGATCACCTTCACCACCATCTCACTTCATCTCACCAACGTCCCTCTTGGGTGAATCTTCTCTTACCTTGATTTCAATTCTTGAAGCTTTAACCTAATGTATCATTTCTGACCTAGATTTCTATGATGTTTTGGGTATAAATGGTCGAAAAACATGGCTATTTAAAGTCGAAAACCACACCATTTTACCTTTCTTTTGTTCATAATCTTGTGTGACTTAGAACATTTAACCACATATATGATTTCTGACCTAGATTTCTATGGTCGTAGATAATAAAACGTCGAAAACCTCTCTATACCTTGATTTCTTTCAGAATCTGATGTGACTTTGAAGATACCACTGGTATGGTTTCTGAATTAAATTTCTAGATGTTTTGAGTTATAAAAGGTTAAGAACCTCACCATTTTACTTTAATTTCATTTAGAATCTGTTGTGGCTTTGAAGATTAAACTGCAGGTATCAACCTTTATAGTTTATATGCATGATTTTCCGATTGTATTTGGTTTGTATTTACAAAAATACCCTTTAAATTGATAGGAATTGGAACTGAACTTTCAAGAGATGTTACTAGCCTATTAGGGAGGTAATTATCACTCTATATTGATGTTTTTTTCAAGATTTTATTATGGATAAGGCAACAAATAATGCCTTTTTATGATATGATTGGCTACAGGCTCTTGAAAAAACATGGTTTAAACAAGAATTGACAATGTACTTCTGGTATTCAGGTTAGAAGGAAACAATTTTTTTTTGGATAGTGGACTAACTGATGCATTATATATGGTCTTTTGGTAGGTGTAGCAGTTGATTAGTTAATGGGTGATATTTCTATTGTTTGCTAAACATCTAGCAAAGACAATGAGACAAAGTAATTTTGAGAATGATTATTCATTTTACTTTACTAATGAAACTATATTTCTCGGATCATGTGGTTGAATAGCTTGCAATCTACAGCAGGAAGTTCACAGCAATGAGATACGGTTTGTCCTACTGTGTGCAAAACCAAAGTTAAAAGGAGTTCTTTTTGAAATTATGGTCAAACATGTTAATATTTGAGTTCACACCATTTTAAGACTTCTAAAAAAGTTCAAATAAAGTTGGTGAATGTGGTCATTAAGAAAATTAAAATAAGATTATGCTATTGAGGTACAATAATTAAGAAAAAACATGAAACATATCATTGATGCTTGAGTACTTTTAAATTTTAAATCAGTTCAATTTCATTCATCACCAATTGTGTAGTTTCATAATGTTTCAATTTATAAATGGTTTTTGGATCTTTTAGTTAATATTCATGAATATATTACTTTTGTAAAGTCAATCGATAGGCCCAAGGGTGGTTGAATGATCTTTCTGGTAATTGTATTGAATGGTTGAATACAAATATAGCAATGTTCTTTCTCAAATTTTTGTAATTATATTGAGTGGTTGGATTATCATTTTGGTATGCAAAGTATAGTATAAGATCTGTAGAGTAACAATTGTACTTCTACATTTCACAAAATGTTTTTTTATAACAAATAGTGTATCTGTCAAGATTTTCTAAAGTTTTTGGTGTATTAATATGTTATTTTGCAAGTTTATGCTTAAATCCTATTATAAAGACATCCCTTTTAGGAGCTTAACATAGATCATGATGCCTTGGAAAGTGGAGGCGTCGACATCTATAATTAGTGGTGGGCTACATGTTGGTTTGATGTTTCTAAGGGAAAATAATTATAGATGACAATAGACTACAAGATCTAATCATGCAACCATATGTATGTTTGATAAATTGAATGTCATTTGTGTGTAAGTGGCTTTATTTTACCTAATATTACATAATGAACTTATTAAAATTATAGCATCATAATATAAGTAAAAAATCTAAACTATATAAAAAGCACTTCAAACTTATAAGCCTTCTCATAGAATTTATAAATTTTTTATCGTTGTATAATCAGGCATAGTATAATTAATGTATTAATACGCCACAAATATAATTATCTATTGATTTTTCAGTTCGATGTTTTATTCTTCGAATTCAAAGTTTTTGTCGAACACACCATGGGTTTTGGAGAACTACACAAGTTTTTGACAAAATAAAATCAAATATCAAGCAAACATGAAGTACAAATTTGTTAAAAATGATAATCGTTAACCAAAGTTTGCATTTTCTGAAAATATTAATTGAAAATAACTGTTTATGACAATTAGTTTTTACTTTTAACCAAAAACAAAAACGATATTTTTATTTTTATCACCAAAAAATTTCGGCTTATAATTTAACAAAAAAAACTTTTCTTTTTAACAAAAAAAAAAACAAATAAGTTTTACTTTTTAACCAAAACAAGTTTCTTTAAGCAAAAATATCGCACATTTTAGTATTAACCAAAAATAACAATGTAAAAATATTTATTGTTGTGTTGTTTATTTTTTAAATTATGACACGTTTTTGAAAAACCATATCTTTGAAAGAAGTAATCGATGTTGACTGTATTGCACGTCAAATGAAATTTATATTAATACTAATAAAAAGACTACAAATTACAAATTACACAAGAGGCTAAAACTTTCATTTTATAACATTCATAATAAAAGTAAGCAGAGAAGGTTATTGTCGAACAGAACAGAAGTTATTTGATATATATTGAAAATGTTTAACGCATGCGAAAATGAAACTAATCCCATTTCGGAAACTAACGGGCAAAAGGAAAATAATTGTCGCGGCTATATCCCACATGTATCATTGGCGAAAATGTACTATACATGTTTTTTTTTTTTTTTTTAAAAATTGAATATGACATGTTTAAATGGAACATGGAACAAAAGTACTACTTACAATAGACCCCACATGCATATATATTATCATGCTAATTGTTAAAACTTCAATCGATAAAAACTTGGGCTCGTATTTAACCAAACATGTTAATAACAAAAATGACTGTAGTCAAATGGTTTTTTGTTGAATAGAAATTATCCACCACCCGTTAAGATAAACTATTCATCTACTGTTGAAAAGAAAATAATCAATGGATGCCATATATTTATTCCATACTTTTATTTTTAGCCTGAAAAGCATGCCGGAAAAACACTAATCGTTGAAAGAAACTAACATCCGTCGCCGCATTGCGCGGGTATCCTACTAGTATATATATATATATATATATATATATATATATATATATATATATATATATATATATATATATATATATATATATATATATATGCATTTTTCATTCATTTGTTGTTTCTCTATTTTCACGAGAGTAAGGAATTAGATCATATGAAATTTAGTCTTTAAAACTAGAGTTAATTCTATATATAATAATATAGGTAATATGCAAAGGACTTTGTGGCTGTTTACAGAATTCATGTTACATCTCAAACTACAACGCAATATTTGGGTATATTTTAAAAATATAATGTTTTTATTAAGATGAAAATAGAAATATAAATCATAAAGAAAGTTTGATAAGATTTTGTAATATAAAAACTAACTAGTTAAACACATTTATGTACACATCCAACTAGAGAAGCACATTTCAAACCGATTTTTTTAAAACCTATCGAAAAAACCAAACCAAATATTTGAGAATTGATTTTTGCAAAACATGTTATGTTAAAACCAAACCGGTTGTTATTAACACTTTTTTACTGGTTTCTGAAACTGTTTTTTTCGCAATTTTTTTAAGAAGTCGAACAAAATCGTTTTCGTTAAGAAATAAAAAACTAGATTTTTTCATCAAATTTCACTTCCAAAAAAAGCTGAACCAGTTATAACCAAACCAGTTCAAAGAAAAGAGTTTTTTTTTTTTTTAAATTTTTTTTTAAAACCGAAACCGGTTTAAAATCGAAATTTGTGCACCTTTACATCCAACAAATGTGAAACCTAAAAAAAAAAAACAAATAAATAAAAGAACCCTCCAATAAAATGTATTCAGATGTAGCTTTTGTCTATGCATTATCTTTAATTTTATTATATAAGAGCATACGATGTGGATCGTGTTGTTTCTTGTTGTGGCTGAGTTGACAGTTCATAACGCCTTTATAACATTAAAAACACCGCCCCTCTTCTTGTTGCATCTTGTTGTGGTGCTTCTTGTTGTCTTCATGACAAGAAGAAACGTAATCACCTATTGGCTGTCAAATTATCTCTCTTTATCTCTCTCCTTTTAACATGGTGTTATAATACCATGACACCACCAAATTACTTCAAGTTGTCAATACCATATACTCTAAAATTTATGATGCTACTTAAAATCAAGCGTATTTTTTTTAAAAGATTTGACTTTGGCGTCGAACTTTTGGAAAGATATGGTTCCATGATTGTAGGTAATTTAAAGAAGAAAATTTTAACCTAGAGCGAATAAGAAACTCCGTCTAAGTTTCTACAACCATCCAAAACACACCAAAAGTCAAGAACACTTTCCCAATTAAAAAAATAAAAAATCAAAGAGAGCGTGGTTATATTTGTTTTACTCCCATATCCCCTAAAACCTAATTAAGATGACTATACATTTTATACCCAAAGAAACTGTTAAAAATTATTCATCGAATGAATCTAATTAAGATGACTATACATCTTCGCAGTACTATTTGCCGAACTAACATAAAGACACACCACTCATTATTTATATATAATAGATATTAATATTAAAATGAAAGAAATAAAATTGTAAAAGAATACAACATACTTCCGTCGCTTAATGCATCATTAGATTGATTGCTGAATACGAGACCAACAATCATCGACAAATTTACATGTTGAAATATAAGACGAACCATTCACACTCAATGCTTCCTCCGCACCTTCCTTTAACCTCTTTACTTTCTCTGTCATTGCTTTTCCTTCTTCGCCCTCTATCAAACACCTCACCATCTTCTCCACCTCCTCCCTCCCCACAACTTTCTTCGTCGGCAACACCGCCGGCCTCACCGCCACCTTCAGCTCCTCCGTCAGCAACGTCGCATTCATCCTCTGTTCTGCATACAACGCCCATGCTATCATGGCTACCCCACTGCTAATGCTCTCTAACGTTGAGTTCCATCCACAATGTGTCAGAAACCCCCCAACCGATGTGTGGCTCAAAATCTCCACCTGTGGGGCCCATGAACGCACAACAAAACCCATTTTCTTGGTTCGAGTCAAGAACCCTTCTGGAAGATACTCGGGTTCACCATTTGGTTCACCGGAATGACCGGATTTGAAAAAAGACCCGTCTTTATCATATCCAGCAGGTGGCCGGACCACCCAAACAAATCTTTGTTGGCTCAGCTCCAACCCCCAAGCCAGCTCTATAATTTGCTCGGCTGATAACATTCCGCCGCTTCCAAAAGACACGTATATGACTGACCTTTCCGGCTGTTTATCAAGCCATTCAATCACCTCACTCTTCAAACCGACCGGTTCGTATTTTTTGGCTATTGGACCAACTGTGTAAACCGGTTTGTTTTTCACGATGGAACGCAAAATCTCGTTATTTCTGAGAGCATGAAGAGATTGTGGTTCCAGATTTTCCCATGTGTTTATTAACATGCCATCTGCCAAAGTCACACCAATTGCTTGGTTTAAATAAACTCGATAGTCTTCATCG